TATTACGTAGGCGCTCGCGTGCGACGGAGGCCGGGGCTGGGCTCCTGGTGACCAGAACGCGCCGCAGCGGGGCGCGGGCGGCAGCGTCCGGGGGACGCGGGCAGCACAGGGCCCCCGCCTGGCGGCTGAACTGTTCCGTGGCTGGGGCGGGGTCCCTGGGAGCCGGCCTTGCTAGAGTGCCCCTCGCGTAATTGTCAAATGAATGAATAAGTAAGAGCCTATGACGGCTGTAGTGTTTTGAAGGGCCTGGTCGCCTTGGAGCGTGACAAAGACTGCGGTACCGGGGCCTTCCCGCACACCTGTCCCTACCGGCTTGCCGCTGCGGTTTTAACCATTCCGATCGCTCACTGCTCCGCCCTATGCCTAGTCTTTTCTCTCAGAAGGTGTCGGTAGAATTCAGGTCTTTCCAGCTCTGAAGGTTTGGGGGACCAACACAATAGCCGGCAGTGGAGGTTAAGCAGGCCTTGCTACTTTAAGGTGGGTGCTCGGTAAACTAGATTCTTCACTTTTTAGCTCTTAACCACTCGCCGGCTGTTGAGATAGCTACCTGCAACCGTGGCAATCGTCAGGCAGGATTTAAATGAATTACGTTTTGTTTCTTGGATAGAAAATGATGGAAGTGATGTTGTCAGAGTGGCTACTGTGTGTGGGAAAATATATTCGTGTTGATGAATCTTAACAATGAGTTTTCATTCAGCGTCAATAAAAGGTGAACTGGTTTTTTGCAGAACTTGCCCCAAATTTATGCATGGCTCTAATTTAATTCTCATGAGAACCAAGGCATCAAAACTTGGCCCAGAAATGCTGTCTTATATTATGCATAATTATAATAATTGAAAGCATTTTTAGAAAGGTGAGCTCCTCCTTTCTCTATTTTCATCACCCTGAAAAGTCCTTCTTTGACCTAAAGAGCCAATAAATTAAGCCAACAATCTTTTGAAACTTTTAAGTCGTATAAGATTTGGACTATTCTTAAGTGACTAGACAAACTATAATGTTATTTTTATAAAATGTAATGATTATAGATAAAGGTGAAATCAATTGATTTTGCCAGCATAAATTAAACTTGGTAAACTCGTGAGAAAAAAATTTTTACACAAGTTTTTAAAGGCTGTTTACTAAGACAATGGCAAGCAAAGGTATTCCATAACTATATGCCTATTCTCTATTACTTTTAAAGGTTTGATCATCAACTTTGAGTTATGAAAAGTGGTTTGTGGAAATTTTATCACAGATAGTCTTCTACAACTAACAGTTTAATTTTAGCAGCGGGGTGTTTTTGTTGTTGTTGGGTTTTTTTTTTTTTAACATGTTTTCCAGTTTATTATAAAGGATCTTTTCTAACCACAGCATTTATCATGCACATTCACCAGGTGGATATCCAGGTCATCATAAAGCCAGTCCCACAGGGCTTGTATATCAGCTGCTTCATCTGGGGTGTTCACTTGACATTCACAGGTAGAGTCAGGCAGTCCCCTTTTGCAAGGTAAACAGAACTTAGAGTGGCTTTTATCCAGTCCACCACGCTGCCTGTTCCCTCAGGAATAACCTTCTGTGTGTCTGTGCCTTATGTATAGCAACCCAAACATGCTCTTCCACTCTGTATCATGTACAACCAAAGATAGTGCTCCTAAATTAGTCTCAGAATCCACTTTAGTAAAGGATCCTCAGGAAGCTAATGATACTGATATGCAAAATGAAACAATTCCTTCACATTTTACCCCCTGGTTTCAATAGTTTCTTGGTTTTGTCTTTTCCCCACATGAACTACCTTGTTAGTGACCAAAAATGTCTTAGAGATACTCTCCGTTTTCCCTGCATAATTTTTCTCTTGAAGGGCAGCTTAGAGGCTAGTGGCTAAAGCTCAGATTCACTGAATTCTGAGCTTGGTCTAGCATCAAGGTCCAACCCAGCATTCTTTTTAATTTCATATTTGCTATTACAGATAACAATAACCAAAGGATTAAATATTTCACTTTTTTATTATTAGTAGTTTATGTTTCCTTGCAGTCAGTGAATCCTGGAGTTGGATCCATCCCTAAATTCCACTGGTAACTCTTTAGTAACTGAGTACAGTTTAACCACGTGGCCACCCAGGAATCAAAGGTTCTTTATACCCCACTCCCTTTTATCTTTTTTTCTTCCCAAACCACATGTTTCTGTGTGCCAGGGCTGTTCTAGCAAATCCCAATTCTGACAACAATTCTGAGAATATAGGAATAGCTAACTCAGTTTCTTATATACTCTCACAATACAAGATACAGATATAACCTGAGATGTGTGGAGTCTCTCCCCCCCCGCCCCCCACCAAGCAAGTAGTGCTTCAGCAGCGGACACCAGCTGAATGTCCTCTAATTCAGTTCAATTCTGACACCATCTACCTGGAGGTAGCCTCAGATCGCACAGGTTGAAGGCTCAGCTCCACAAGACTGCCTCCCACTTTGGATGCCAATCACAAGCCCCAGGTTGTTTTACCTGTGCTTCTGATGACTAACTATAAGTTGGGCTTTCCCACGACCCCCTCTTCGGGTTTAATTTGTTAGAGCAATTCACCAAACTCAGGGAAACACTTATATTTACTAGTTTATTATAAAAGATATTACAAAGGATATGGATGAAAAGATGGGAGAAGGATCTTGGAGCTTCCATGCCACCCTCCCGGAACCTCCACCTGTTCAGCTGTCTGGACACTCCAGTAGCAGTTTTAATTACAATAAATTTGAGTACCTTAATATTATGAACACTGTTCTAGGTTTTGGGGAAGCAATTAAAAATAATAAACATCTTTAACAATGCCTTAGGATAGTGTTAAAAATCCTGATGGGGAATGAAAACTTTATATTGGAGTAAAGCCAGGCTCTCTTATGCTCCTTTGACTTAATGAGGTCTCATTCATTCATTCAACAAATATTGAGATTGATGCCTACTGTGTGTTGAACATTGTTCTAGATTCAGAGAATACACTGGTGAACCAGAAAAAGACAAAGCCCCTGACCTAAGAGAGTTTGACAGTTTTATCTCCCAAACAATTTACTGTAGCAAATTGTAGTTTCTGTAATCCCTCTGGTTCAGCTCTGGGACTTGAACAAAATAAATGCTCAAATACTTTTATTAGCAGTAGCTAACATTTATTGAATGCTCACTGGGTGCCACATTTTTTCTTTTTTAATCCTCACAATGTTTTACAGATGAAGAAACTGAGTCTTAGAAAGGTTATGCAACTTGCTCAAAATCATATAAATAAGTAATAGAACCCATGTTAGTCTGTCTCCAGGGCCTTTGCTCTTATCCTATGGTTGTACTGTGTGAAGTAATCGGATCTGTTAAGGAGAATTTGGGAGCAATTTCTGGGTAGAATCCCCCAATCCTTTTTTAAATACTTCAACCAGAGATGTGATGAAATATGAATGATAGGCATGGTAGTTCTTAATAGGGAAGATGGGGCAGTTCAAAATACAGTGTTTACCATATGGGAGATGGACAGCTGTGACAGTGGAGTGGAGATAAGGGGCAGCGTGAAATTAAGATATTAATCTGATTATGAGTGATGGATTCTTGGTGGTCAGTGTTGGAGAGGTTTGAGGTTTTTAAATGATTCTCGTACTCTTACCTCTGGAGTTCAGAATATGTTACTTAGCTCATTCCTATCAGGGCAGTTACCATACCTACTTGGAGTACCTCTAGTACATTGAGCTTATTCTTTTTGGCCTTTGTGTTTGCTGTTCTCTGCCTGGAACTTCCACCCCTCTCCACCCCTACCTCAAGATTGTATAACAGGCTTTACGGTCTTAACTCAAATGCCATCTCCTTAAGGAGGCAATTTTCTA